GGCGAGTCAAGGTCAAGCAAGGTCGAACCCCCCGGAAAGGCTTGGCGGAGACTTGATTCCTCGCTAACGAGCCGATATAGCCGGCCACGCGCAATTAAGATGCTCGAAGATCGTAGCAAACGATCCTCGAGATATCTCTGGCGTCGTGAAGCGGCCGCTTCTCTTCGTACTCGGGAACGATTAATCCTTCGCTCGATCGTCCTCGATGCGTATTTTTATCTTATATTCACGCGATTCGAATTATGCGAAAAGCTTTAAAGAATTGTTAGGTAATCGAGAAAGTTTTTTTTTATTTTATATAGAAGAGTATATAATAAAATAAAGAAGTATTTATAAAACTTGTTTTATAATATTCTTACAAAAACAATTGTTTTTGTGATTTTTTTTAGATTTTTTGAATATTTGGTGGATCATTGGATTGAAATTATACGTTTCTAATGATGATCATTGCTTGTTCAATTGTAATGAGTCGAGTTTAAAAAGAAATAAAAGAATGAGAATTTCTCGATTAAATGTTATTCTCTAAAGTTAAAAGCAGAGGAAGAAGAAAAATCATGATTTTATAATTCCTATATTAAAAATACTTAATTCAATGGATATAAATTCATTTTCTACGTTTCCTTGCATTTCTTTTTTCGTCGTAAAAGAAAAGGCAAAACTTTCTCGATTACCTGATAGATAATTAAATATAGAGGACACTTTATACTTTCTACCATGTTCAACCAAGTTTTTAACTTGCATCCAAGCTGTTAATTAATTGAATATCAATCTTCTTCGTAAAATTTTACGATCTAAGGGAGAAAAATCTCTCCATCTGTTTTCCCAATCAAAATTTTCTTCTTCCCTCCACCACCACGTTCGCGTACTTTTCCCTGGAAATTTCTTCTGGAAATTTTATACCGATGCCGTTGCAAACGAATCGGAGGAAGAGATATTTTTCAACGATCGTTCGATCACCGAGGTTCGCCCATCGATCAATCCCCGGCTATTGGCCGCGAAAAAAGGAAGCGGTCTCCGTAAAATGGTGGGTTTCGAGGGCAAAATTGTCGTATCGCGTATTCGAATCAATATTATTACGGGCGGCGAAACGTCGACGACGACGACGGCGAGGCAAAGAGGAAACGAGTATGCAATCGGTAACAAGCCATTTATTTACAACTTCGATTCGTTGAACGTGCAGGAATAATTTAGCGCGTTAGCACACAAACGCAAGGGGAGTGTGCATACGTCTAATGCACCCTCGGCAACAGAGGCTTCGTTAAGGGGGTGGGTTTCAGGGTTAACGGAGGTCAACGGGATCCTTAAACTCCATCGATACGATCTTCGATGGCTTCCGCTCGAGGAGCGAACGAAAGCGACTCTCTCCCTCGTTCGTGGCGCGTAATATTTTAGTCTCTAACCCGTCGATTGTTCCGTGAAATATCACGAATGCACGCGGAATGGAAAATCATACACACGTGTCGTATTTTTTAAAATTAAAATTTGAAATTTTATATTCATAGAAAAGGAAGAATTAATTATAGAAATTATACTAAGTTATATATCGAGTATGTTTCATGCAAAATCAAATTCCTCTGAATACATATATTGAAAAGAAATGAAATCTAAATAAATAGATTCCTTCATCGTTACGTGCATTATACTTGTGCATAATATTCCTGACTTTTTTCTTTTTTTTTTTTTTTTTTGCATGCCAAGTGTCTTTTGTAAACATTTATATATTCGAATAAATGCATATAAATATCCAAGTTCGATTAACGTCAATACCGTTTTACGAATCAATTTGAACAGGCTTTAATTTTATAAGTATAAGAGGGGGGGAAAAGAATAGTATTAAACGCTTCCTTATATTCCTACCTTAACTCATCATTCGTTTACTTCTTACAAAATATCAAATTACCACAAAACCGCTAATTTAACCATAATGATTTAATCCATCGGGACTAAACGAATGCGAGCGAATCTGACGTAAATGTAGCCAAGCGAGCAAACATTTGGCAACGAGAATCAACTTTACACGACCCGGTTATCTCGTTGAAAACACATCATTCTGAAAGATGCAATCCTAATTTTAAAATCTTTTAAAATTTATCGAAGAAAGGGAGAGGGATCACCGTGTTTGGATCACTGATTAGAGCAGTCGAGATCGCTTCCTTACCTTAGATTCCCTCGAGGGAAGAGGGGAAAAAAAAAAAAAAAAAAGGAAAAAAAAAAGAGAGGCATGGGAGGTGTTCTCGAGGGGTAGAGCGCGGCGCTGCGGAGAGGAAGTGAAAGCCGGCGTCTCTCCTTGACCCACTGCAACGTTTCTACCTTCCTTTCAGGCAGTGCCAACCTCGCGGCTTCATTAAGCAATTTCTCGTGGCAGCGGCCGGGGAAAAATCGGCGTGGAAAATCGACTCATTCCGCCACGGTGGATGCCTTGCGAACACGCTTTCTTCGCCAGCTCGCCGTTCTGCCATCCTCTTCCCTCCTCCAGCTGCTACCGATCCTCCGTGAAACGAACATCATTATTATCGTTATCGTTATCGAGGAGGGAATCACCCGAAAAATAATAAAAGTCGGCCGCTTTTTATCGCGCCCACACGACTGAATTGTGTTGCGCAATCGTGCTCGAACGAAAATCCAGATTTCGAAACTGTGCGAAGCGCAGAGGCGGGAGACCCTTCATTCGATCGATTCGTCCCACGACATCGGAGAAGTTTAGGAAGGAGAGAGTCAAGTTTTATTTTTTTTATATCTTTAAAAAAATTGCTCGTGCTGAATTCTCTTCCAGTTACTCTCCAGTCCTGTTTACCCTTCTTCTTCTATACTCTTTCTTAAGGGACACTTTCTTAAATAAACGATCCAAGATTGTCTCTAAAATTTCCTATCAAGGAGTACAAAAAAATGGAAAAATGGTTGTATGTAGCTCATCGCGGTAATGGCGAGAAAGCGAGGAGGGGAGGGGGACGGGAGGAATGAAAAATTCCAGCGGACGCCTCCGTTTCTCGAGGAAGGCGATCATCATCGGGGAAGGGGGGGCATTATCCGTGGATAATAAATGGATCTCCTCCTCGCCCGTATCACGTGACGGATCACGTGAATTGAATCGGTAATTATGAGATCCTCGTAAGATGGAGGCAGTGGCGGACGGGTGGTGTTTAGCTGGTAGACGAGCAAAAGATCGGTTTCTCTTCCACGAGTTTCTGCTGTTTATCGAACAGGAACTCTGTGCGAGCGAGCAGAGAGAGGGGGAATAACGAGAGAAGTCACGGATGGAAAGCAAAACTAGCAAACTCTCGTGCGTCGTTGGCTGTAATTATCTGGAACGGAATGGCGGGCAGGAAGACGTTCGTCTGACGTAAGAATATCTACGCGATATCCGGTGCAACTCTGCGCGATCCCGAAAGCGGGGGATCTTCCAGCGATAAAGGCGAGCTTTTACCGACCTGCAAACCTGGAGAAAGCTCGCCTCACTGTTTACTTTTACTGATTCTCTTAACTTGGCCGGATGCAAATAGGGGGATAGTTAGATCGTTTCTAACGAGTTTTCGAAGGAGATTGATTTCTATTACTGTTCTATTAGCGCAATCCATTGCTCGATCGTTTTTATTTAATGATATCGAGGGATAAGATTAACGAAGCCTTTTCAAAACAATCGTAAAAAGATTAAAATCTTTTCTTGGGATTTTTAGAATTTCACATATTTGTTAGGGAAGCTTCTTTTCGATTGAAATTGGTGGATCCAATAAGACATATAACAATAAGAATAAAGCATTTAAAAAAAAGTAACTAAGTTACAAAATTTCGAATAAGTAATTATTTATTAAAAGTTTCCAAGAAACTTTATTCAATTTTCCCCATCACACGTATGAATTTATTTGTGGAATATATTAAGAAAAATCTTTTCGCTCTTTCGTAAAAAAAAATTACGATTGCTCGTTGAAAAAGCGATATAGGCGAAAGTACGAAAAAGGGAGGAGGGTAGGAATGAAATGTAACACTGTCGTTTGCTTGATTTCAGTGGACACGAGGGAGGTTCAGCCACACGATGCGAGCGAGAAGGAGCAACTGGGCCTGGCCAGCGTTAAAGCGGAACCAGGGTCGACCGGTACGACGACGACCACCACGGGGACACGTCTCCTGCACGGTATTCTCTCGCAGCATCCCCAGCAACACGGTCTAGGGGTGCAAAATGGATACGGCCGCCA